TTCTAAGATCTTCCCCAGGATAGAAGTCAGGCTGATGGGCCTATAGTTAGCCGGATCCACTTTCCTCCCTTTCTTGAAGATAGGCACCACATTGGCCTTCTTCCAGTCATCGGGCACTACACCAGAGCACCAGGAGTTCTCAAAGATCTGTGCCAGAGGCTGGGCTATGATGCTTGCCAGCTCCTCAAGTACCCTGGGGTGTAGATTGTCAGGGCCGGCTGACTTGAAGGTATGCAGCCTCTCAAGGTGTTCCTTCACGAGGTCAGCATTTATGGAGGGCGGGGGATCACCCTCACCCAGACCTCCCTGTCCCGTAGTGGACGTGGGTGTCCCATGGGACTGTACTTAGTGGTCTGTAACTGATTCATGAGATCTGTAAATATTTTTCCAAACTGCTTTTTAGCTGTTTTGTTAAAATTAACTGGCTATATTTTGGATATATTAAGAAGGAAGTGAATTGGTGCAAATGGGGGAAAAAACATAAAATGTATTAACGTTTTATTTTGACTTTCTTTAAATCAGGAGATCAGCCAAATCCAGCACCAGCAGGGCAAGTTGATTATACCAAGGCATGGGAAGAATACTACAAAAAAATGGGTATGTTAATAAATTTTTGTTTGCCAAAATAGTTAGGGTGAAGAGAGGTTCATATTGGATTTGGAAGAGCTCTACCAATAAAAATAAGAACTTGGTCTGATGTCAGTTAAGTGGCATAGGTTCCTTTATCATTAGACTTCCTGGCACATGTTGGGAATTAAAATGTTTAATTAAAATATGCTTACAGCTTCTCCTTTTATTCTATTAGTGAACAGACTTTTGCAGTATACCATATTTGAGGGTGGGGCGGAGTTGCTGTTTCTTGAATTCTTTAGTCCTAAATTGTCCTAGGAGGAATAGGTATAGAAGCATATGTATTTGAAAAAATATTTCCAAGAAAACACATGAACTTTTTGGTTTTGGGTTCTTGGGCTAGGGACAGACATTCAGAAAGCCTGAGCCTGAATTGATTCAATCTTTGCAGGTTAGTCTAACCTGGCTAGGCTGAACGACTATAATTGTACAGACAACTCAGAAATGCAGGCATATGCCTGCAG